ATATATATATATATATATAAAAAAAAAAATTTGGTTTAAAAATTCATGAATCCCAGGGTTAAATGTTTGAAAATTCTTACAGGCATTTAAGGAAACTTTGAATGCAAAGAACACCATCATCCAGCACACTTGATCCTGCACACAGCACATCTGTATCAACATTATTAAACCTCATATTGATCATTGTCCCATAGGTTACACGTGTCTCCCAAGCGAGAGTGACTTCGGCACACCGGACATCACGAACACCCCTCCACCAATGCCACCCAAAAAACACCCTCACGAGAGTGAGAGCATCTATAACTCCACTTCTGACGTAAGACACAGCATGCACAGTCTGCACTAGGAAAATAGCTCAGTTATTAGCAGCAAATTTACAATTTCCTTTGTACGTTTATCTGTATCTTGATCTAAAAACTTTGACAAAAATAGAAATGGTATAGAAAGCTATAATGCTTTTCGTCTTTTATTTCATCTGTAGTTCACGCCTCCTTTACCAGCGAAAGTTGAAAACAAGCCTCCACCGCCGCCACCCAAAACACGCAAGTCCATGTTTCCCACCTATGAGAGCAATCCACAATAAAGACAGTCCGGTTCTCCTGAATTCAGAAGCAGACGCCCCGTGGTACTGTGTCTCAGATAATTGCGTGCTGTTAAAAACACTTCTTAATGGTACTTGTTCCTCTTTTTAAAAATTCAGAGCTGAGAGATTGTTTGTCATGGTTTTTTGGGATTTCTGATTAAACCTGTTTATTATTTATTTTTGGTAGAAAAACAGCAGTTTCATCCTCATAAAGCATTATTGTTTTTATTTGGAAATGGACCTCCAGTGTGTATTTATTCATAACTGCTGGGCAGGAACGTGACCATTGGTTGGTTGGTTTGTTGAATGTTAAAATCAGCCTCACATCCACTGGATTAGTTTATCTCGACCTGTATCTGTGTCTTATAAATAGAGATATTTAAAGTTAATTAAGTTCTGTGCACAAATCCACTTTGCACATTGCTCATAATTGTCAGGTTGCACGTTCACGCAATTAAAACTTTTGTAGTTGGACCTTTTACACCCGCAGCACAGTTTGCATTACTTTTCCCCTTAAGCAAGGAAAGGCTCTTGATGGAGTTTTTTCCCCCTTACTCTACAGAGCAATATTTGTATAAAAAAATCCCAAACATTTAAAAAGCCTGTGAATTAAATTTAATTGAAGAGAATGTAGAAGATGCAGTATAAAAATTCAGGCTTTATGAAATTATTTAAAGTGTCTAGACTTATTTTTGTCATGATTGCAAAAAGCAGATCAGATGTGAAGTCTTGAATTCAGGAATGCTACCTATTGTGTCAAAACTTAAAGGAATAATTCACCCCAAAATTAACATTTGCTGAAAATGTACTCCCCCCTCCCCTCAGGTCATCCAAGATGTAGAGGAGTTTGTTTCTTCATAGGAACAGATTTGGAGAGATGTAGCATTACATGACTTGCTCACCAACGGATCCTCTGCAGTGAATGGGTGCCGTCAGAATGAGAGTCTGAACAGCTGATAAAAACATCACAATAATCCACAAGTAACCCACATCACTCCAGTCCACCAATAAACAAATCCATCAAAGCGTTTTAACTTTAAACCATTGCTTCTGACCAAAATACGAGTCCATAATAACGTTTCCTCCAGTGAAAAAGTCGATCCTCTGTTTGTCCTCTCACATCAAAATTTAGAACTATTATGGACTGTATTAACTTATAAATGGTACTTGATCTGTACATATTTCTCTCCTGATTCAGACAAGATGACTTTTTCACTGGAGAAAGCAATATTTTGGAATATGAACTTTTAGCCAGAAGTTTGAAGTTAAAAACGTGTTAATGGTGGATTTGTTTCTTACAAACAAACACACTCATTCTGACGGCACCCATTCACTGCAGTGGATCCATTGGTAAGCAAGTCATGTAATGCTACATTTCTCCAAATCTGTTCCTATGAAGAAACAATCTACATCTTGGACGGACTGAGGATGAGATCTTTTTCAGCCAACTTTTATTTTTGTGTGAACTATTCCTTTAAATGTCACCTAGGTAAAGCGTGGAATTTCATGGATGGGTACATTTTAGTTTGGAGCAACATAAATTGCTCTGTGAAACACGCCAGTAAGGTTTGAGATCACCAAATCAGATTTAGGGCTTGCTTGTTCATTTACCTCAAGTCAAAATATCACACTTCAGTAGTACATGCACTGTATTTGTACACTGTATTTTTTGCTCATGATATTTTTTATTTCTTTATATGATAAAGATGTTTAGATTTTTTTTTTACTTTTGTGATTCAACATTTGTCTTTATTCTTCATGATAAAATGCAACTGCAACTTTGGATGTTTTAAATTATTCATTGTCATGTTGTTGAATGCAGCGCTTCAGTAATGAAATTGTTATTACATAAAAATATCAGAATAGCAGGATCATTCTTATAGGTTCACTGGTTAAAAACTACACTGGGTGTGTCAGCATTGTTTTATTCTTGTAATGGGTTCTTATAATAAGGTAATTTTCATAAAGATTGCATAGTTTTGTACTTTAAGAGTGTTTTTTTGCAAATATGGTAATATTTAATTCATGGAAAATTCTATTTCTGCATGAAATGCTTTGTACATTCTGTATTAAATCACACAATTATCAGAACAAATGTGACAAAGTTCACAAAATTCCAGGGAAAACCAAAACAATGTTATTTAAAGGGATTGTAGGTGTAAATATAGAGTTTTTCTTTGCTGAATTATTTAAACGTGAAACTGTAATTTAAATGAATGAAATAGTGTTATTTTAATTTATTTCATTCTGAGCAAAAATACAAACCAAGGTTATTCTGGCCTACATGGATCATTTCAACATCCAAACACTTTTTCAGTATAGTAAATGCATGCATTTTTAAAGTAGTTATAATATATATTTTCAGTCAAAGTGGACAGTTTTCGCCACCTGCAGGTAGAAACCCATGAAAACCAATGGAAAACAACCAATCATAACTGTTATTTTTGCACTCCAGTTTGAATAAAAGTGGCAAAAGAAATCTTGGACTGTTTACTAGTTTAATAATGAGCATAGCAGTCCTCATTTACTCCCGACATCTGAGCCGCTGAAGACGCAGTGGATTACGTTTGTTTCTGAAGTGAATGCGCCCCTGATCTGCCTAAATGCGTCTATGTTCGCGCGAATCATTCGTGATCCAGCCTCATCTACAGAAGTATAATGTTTTGTAATGAATCTTTGTAAATTGCCTTTCCTAATAATGTGCTAATTAGCAAGTTTCACGATGAATGCAGCTAAAGTAAACCGTCTCTCTGAGAGCAGCTCGGAAGAGAGGGGCGGGGTCAGCAGAGCTCATTAACATTTAAAGGGAAATGCTACAAAAACGGCTTGATCTGAAAAGAGCTGTTTTTGACAGGGTAAAAAAAAAAGGCCTTTTTACACTTCCATTGAGAAATTTTAACCAAACTATGTTACAGACTTTTCATAAGACCCTAAAGAATCATATCAACTTGTGGAAAATGGGCATCATATGACCCCTTTAAGGAGTTTTATAGCTATTAAGTCAAATTACCTTTCAGTGTAAATAAATCATTTTCTTTTCAAACCTGACAGTGTTGAGATTCGATGCAACTTAAGCCATGTTCACACTACAGGATTGTAAGCCTGATTTAAATCCAATTTTCAAGCAGAGTTGCCAGGTTTTCACAACAAAACCGACATTTGCTACTCAAAACTTGCTCAATGGCGATTCGGTGGGGGTCCCCAGTAAAAAAAAAAAACTAGTTCCGGGGGTAAAATACGCATATTTTATTAATTTTTTTGCTGTTGTTCCACTGGTAAAATTCGCATTCCATGGGCTAAATACCACGTTATTGGGGTCGCTTGAACCCGGTGTAACAGTGTGAAAGGAGCCCGATTCCGTAGGAAAAACGACTTGTCAACGAGCTCGCCGACAAGTCGGGCTGTGATCGGGGGGAAATCTGCATGTGATCGGCGCTCGGCAATCTTTGTGTGAATATATCAAATATGTGTGATATTAATGTGTGAAATATACTGTGTTTTTGCTTGAATGAAGAGCAACTTGTCACAGTAATCCTATTTAAATTGTTATTCTTGAGTCATCCAGACCCCTGACTGTCAGGTAATAACTGGTCATCTCGTGAGTTTAAGATGCCCAAGGATGACATTATACTCTTGACATCTGTTCGCTCTCAGCGGCCAGAAATGGAGGTGGTAGGTGAGAGTCGACGCAGTGGCAGATCAAAGCTCTTTCCCGTCCCTCAGGCTAGAGATTACATACGGAATCATCTTGCCTGTGAAGGTGTCGCTCTTTTCTTTTTTGGAAATGGACACTTCTCTGTCTTGTGTTGTGATATGAGGCACACAAAATCAAGTATCCTTGATCTAGGCCGGCATTAGGTGCTGGAAATCATTTACAGTATGTGGCTTTTATAGCTACATTTCTGCTGTCTTTCCATTGGAATTTTGGATTCTGACAATATGATTCGCTGCTGTTCGTCTTGTTTGATGCCAGGCCAGAATAGAGCATAATTTCCCTTATGAAAATTAACCATGGTTTTACTACAGTAAACGTGTAGTAACCATGATTTTTGTGCGTATTGGTTACCACATTTTTACTACAAATAGCCTACCATGGTAAACTATGGTTAGTGTAGCAACAACATTGGTTAATTTGTGGTTACCATGGTTTAACTATAGTAACCATGGTTTTGTTTTTTTGATGATTAATTTTCGTAAGGGGTATGCGCTGTTCTCTTCTCCATAGATCTCCTGCTGGAAAGTGGTTGTTATGTGACCCTTGGACATCATATAGTCCCTGTATAAACCTGTAAAATGATTGACTGCTAAATAGCCTTTAATCTTACATGCCACTGATGGATATCTCCATGGAAACAAACACCACTTCCCCACTTGCCTTCAGAAATGGAGATCCTCAGTTCAACATACAGACTGAGAAAAAATAGATATTAACCCGAACATTTCTATCATTAGCTTAATAAATGCTTAATTTGAATCAAGCATTTTTCTGTTAAAGAAATGGTTCACCAAACTAAAATAAAATAAAAATACTTTCTTTCTATACTGTATGATTTGCTTCTGTGAAGTGTTTAGCAGGTCAGGTGTATAGAAGATTCGAGCCCCTGACCTTTTTCAAAATTAATTAAAAGTGCCCCTCTCAACAATTATCAACAATAAAATTGTGATCAATAAAACAAAATATATTTGAATTATAATTAATATGACGACGTGTAAAAAAAAAAAAAAAAAAACGGTAACGAAACGCCCAAAAGTCGAAAAATACCAATTTATTTTTATGTATCTGATACTCAAAACGGTTCACTCCTATTACTTTACAGGCTGTGAGTCGGCATTATTTGTCAGAACACCGGCATTGTAGGCTACTCTGCAGGATCAGGAAACAGTCCTCGTCCTCCGTAAAATGCGCTGCACACATCTGAATATTTGGGTTGAAGTGTTCTGGAACAGTGTTGTAAATACAACTTAACCACTGATTTCCACGTCGATTTTTACAAAGTTCATCGGTCTGAAAAGCAAGGTGTGCTCTGACTGGCCAGCTATCCAGTACGTTGTGATTGGCCGAATATCTCAAGTGTGTGATGGAAATGTTACGCCCCTTACCACACTGTGATGCCCTGTCAGGCTGGAGCGATGATTCAAAAACATTAAAACCCATTATAAACTAGACATTTGTTGCATCCAGTGGGGACATAATTACGGATTATAATGACTTATACTGTCTTTTTAAGCATAAAACCATGTCTGCATTTGTGATCAGAGAAATCACAAACAACAAGCCCTACTCTACACAGCCCAAAACTCGCGTTTGAATCATCAGTGGCAAATTCTTTAAATATAAAAAACTTACTTACAGACTGTGAGTCAGAACTAGAGTGAGCGGAGGCCGGCGGGCTAGAGTGAGCAGAGGCCGGCGGGCTAGAGTGAGCAGAGGCCTGCGGGCTAAAGTGAGCGGCGGCCGGCGGATTCGGCGAAGGAGTGGCCGGAGGGCTTGTGGCAACCACATGTGACGACCCCGGGCTGGACTTATCTCAAGTGTGTGATGGAAATGTTACGCCCCTTACCACACTGTGATGCCCTGTCAGGCTGGAGCGATGATTCAAAAACATTAAAACCCATTATAAACTAGACATTTGTTGCATCCAGTGGGGACATAATTACGGATTATAATGACTTATACTGTCTTTTTAAGCATAAAACCATGTCTGCATTTGTGATCAGAGAAATCACAAACAACAAGCCCTACTCTACACAGCCCAAAACTCGCGTTTGAATCATCAGTGGCAAATTCTTTAAATATAAAAAACTTACTTACAGACTGT